GAGAAACCTTGTGCCTCAGTCATTAGCTACTAAATTAGTTCCCACCGGTTAGCAGATTGTAGTTCTTATACAATTCCTATTTCCTTTGTTCCTTGGATAATATCCCCGAAAGCGTCCTTTTCAATGCGTCTCTATTCACTTATACGAACGCGCACACATTTCATGCCCGAGTTTGTGTATTTTACCAACGTTTCATTTTTTTTATCATGATCCCTAAGTTTCGTTGCATTACTCTGTGTTTCTCCCCCTTACAGCAAGAAACGTCGCATTCCCGCCTGGACCGATCGCATTCTGTACATGGCCCATCGGGATTATGCAATCGACCATCATTTGAATGTGAACCCGAATTGTGCTCGTCGGTCACCCAGTCCGTCACGGAAAATCCCGGTCCGTGGTCCGCCGAGCGAAGTGGAACGCAAATATCCGTCCGGGAGTTTTAAGACCAAAATTGCTCATCATCCGGAAATTGTGCTACTTGAGTACACCAGTCTGCCCGAATACCGCCATTCAGATCATCGACCGGTTGTGGGCACATTTCAGTTCGCTGTTCCGTCCCGTTGGTTCAGCTTACCGATTGATTTTGTGGAACCGAAGATCGACAGTGAGTCAAAGATCAATCGCCTGGACAGCTTATATATATTTATATATATTCATATTCACAAACGTCTGAATCCAGACTGTGCCAAACAAATCATGGTACAATAATCCTTATGAGAAAGAAAGATGTTCCATGATTTGCATGTGTGCGGAATACTGCCAGGTTGCTTTTATCCTGATTTGAAAGTTTAAGTTGATTACCTAGATTGCATGTGTTGTATCGTGCAGCTAGTTTTTCCCCTAACCCATTGGCCATTCCGGCCCTGGTTTTGCCGTTTCACAACCGCTTATCTAGTACATTCGTAAATAGGTTCTGGTTGCCTTTTTTGGGGTACTCCGAAAGAACAATGGAAAGGCGTCAATGAATACAGCACTTCGTAACTTGACTTGACTTAATTTGAAAGGTGTGAGCATTACCAGAAGAAAGAGTGTAGATCAACTAAACGTGTGCAGATAGTAAGTGCCATGAGGAAAATGCTCACGCATCGTCGCTAAATTGCAAGTAGGACTAGTCATTAGGTTCCATAACGGGAAAGCCTAACCGAACCCATTTGGCAAGATCCTCCTCGTAGGATTTCCATGCCCTCATGCCAATACCACACCTAACCTAGTGGGGCCCTGTATGCTTTGCCACTCCAAGTCCCAGGGCTTAGATCGCTCGTTTTCATCACTCCGTCTGCTATTTATCACACATGTGTGTAATAAAACAAGGTCTGGGCGTGATTACCTTTGGCCACTTTCCACCTAGTGCCTCTCTCTGCAGGCGGAAAACGCCATGAAAGCGTCTCTAATGTCATGCGTGAAATGTGCTAATACCATCACAATCCATGGGGGTGGGCATGCGCTTGTATCCATGTGCCACTGCGATTGCCTACCACTTTGTCTCTTGCTTTTACATTATTTGTCCGATTAGCCCACGAAGTGCTTGCAGAAGCAGCAGCAGCAGCAGTCCACATTCTTGATCCTTGAACGTCAAGTTTCACGCGCTATCATTTAGGTAATATACCCGCTGGTACTGGTCCATTTTTCAGTTTGACGAATGTGATGTGGTACCAGTGTTGACTTCGGATACGGTGTCCTGTATTTTCAGCGCCCAAACCGTTTCCATGGTGCTGCGTACTTGATATATACGCATGCACAGACAGATGTGAGCATTTCGCAACATCTAACATTAGGGACTAAAGCGAAACAATGAAAACAACAATGGGAATTGGCAGATGAACCATGGCTGACAACACAACTTGAAAAAATAAATGAAAGCTTGTCTGAGAAGCGAAAAGGTCAAAACACCGTGTCTCAAGGTGCAAATCACACGATAGCTGAGTGATAGCTAAATAGCCACATTACAATGAGTTGTGGATCGAAGTTTGAACTAGGTTCTTGAATTATAAAAACAGTTGATGCTGTACTGAACACGTTCTAAGAGCAGTAGATATGCAGGCGGCAACTCGCTGCCTCCAAGACATTTTTACAGTTCCGCAATTAGCGATGATACAAGATATTAGCCCACTACTAATGATTTACTATGGAGGNTATGGAGGGGTTTTTCGAACCGGGCCGATCTAGGCTGGACTTTTTTCTATGCCCTGTGCAGTTTTATATTTTTGATATTTCACTAGTGACGATATGCGGACTAATTAATTCCGAACCTCAGATACTTTTCCGTTGCTGCGCACTTGTGCACCAAACGTTTCTCCTTCTGTCTGATCCGTCCTGCTGGGCTTTTCCAAGTGAATCTGATCGATGTGACTAATTTTCAGATTACAGCATAGTTGATTAATATAATATACCAACCGGTTTGTGAGATATTCCTGTCGATGCATGAACACAAGCTGGTTTAATGAAAGTAAGTATTTTCATTGTATCGCACTAGACATATATAATTTAGTTCATTGGGGATTGACTCACTCGTTTGTTTTATTTTCCATCAGGCTACATCTTTTCCTCATATGTTCACTTCCGTGAATTTTCGTGCAAACTGTCGACATACATCTGTGCACTCCACTGACACGAGTGTGTACGAAAATAAAAAGTAAATTTTTTTTGTAAAAGCTATTTGTGTACACTAGTTATGATACATATATATATATTATATTTAACACCAATCTTTATAGATACGGCGCCAAATAACCATGGATGAACGAAAAAATATAGGTACAAAAGCGGGGAAAATAAAACAGTCAACTTCGGGGAGTAACAATTTTTTGTTTGTTTGCTGCACGCCATTTGGAGGCTTTTTTCGTTTTCGTTTATTTTTGGGAGTGCATGCAAGAGAGGATGCATTCGCGCCACTGACTTCGGTTCGATGCCGTATCCCGCAGTATCTCCAGCCAAAGACAATTTGAATCTTCGGCGCCCCAGCCGGGGAGCCGAGAAACTCCAACGGAAGCCAGATCCGAGCACAATCTCTTTAACCCTCTGCGCCACGTTGTAGCCTGTTCACCTCACTGTTTCTTCCAGCGTGAACCGATGTCTGCGAATAGTGCACGGTGTGGTAGACGGTGCTCAGGCATTCGTAGGACGTGCCCTAGCCACCAAAGACGATACGGTGAAATTATTTTGCTCAAAGGAAGACTANATCTGTTTCGAGCACCCGTCGTCTGATGTCATCGTTATTCACGCGATGCTCCCACCATACGCGGGTGATGTTGAGCAGACAACGGTTGTCGAAAACTGATAGTCGCTGGACGTGATCTGCTCAGAGAGGCCAGGTCTCGCAGCCATAGAGCAACACAGTGCGTACCGTTGCGCAATACACGCCTTTTTCAGTGANTCAGTGAAAGGGATATGTCTCGCCGGTGCCAGAGATGCCACAGATTAGTAAATGCTAATCTAGCTTTGATCACGTGTTTAGAGATCTCACCCACACCTATGCCAGCCGTTATGCATCTCCCAAGGTAGACAAAGCTTTTGACTACTTCCAGAGTGTCGTTACTCAACGAAAGCGCAGGAATGGGTTCCTGTCAATCTTGCAACAACACTTTGCATTTTGAAGGTTCAAATGACATACCATAGGGAGTAACTTCAATTGCCAAACGGTTCAACGACTCTTGAATCGTTGGTGCGTTGTCGCGCGGTAAGGCAATATCATCGGCATACTCTAATTCTAGGACTCTGTCCCCAGGAAGAAGCTCGATGCTTTACTTTGAGTAACGCGTTTTGTAGGACATCGTCTATGGCAAAGTTGAAGAGAAATGGAGAGATAGGGCAACACTGTCGCACCCTACTGGTGACAGGAAATGAGGGTGAAAATTCATCATAGACCCTAACTTTCCCCGAGGGCTGGTGATAGAGCGCTTTTAGGAGAGAGACATATTTCTCGGGTACTCCGTATCTCCGCAAACAGTTCCATCGTGCGATCGATAGCGTCGAAAGCCGCTCTGATGTCTAAAAACACGACAATGGTTTGTCGTCCGTATGCGTGGCGGTGTTCTAGTAGCTCACAGAGGGTGAAGATTCGATCTACGCATCCACGGCATGCACGAAACCCGGCGTGCTCCTCGCGGATTTGCTTCTCACGGAATGGGCATAACCTACGTATTAAAACGGACGCCAGCAGCTTTGACGCTGTTGGAATCAGACTTATACCCATGTGGTTGGAACAGGCGTTGCGACAGACCCTCTTGTAGAAGGGTGTGACAATCGATTCTCCCCATGTGTGGGGTACACTTTCAGTTTCCCAGATCTTCAAGAACAGTCTCGAAAGTTCTCTTACGAGAGCATCTCCACCAGTTTTAAAGAGAGCAGGTGGCGGGCCGTCTGATTCATCTGCCTTGTGGCGTTTCAGGGCTTGGAGTTCCTTTCGGATCTTTGCTTCTGTGCGCGGTCGCTTGGGTAGTGACCTGGGTGCACTCTTAAGAGAACTGCTTGGGGCAGCCAGCGCGGGGTCTGGTTGAAATACGATGTGAAGTGCTCTGCCCAGCATTCCAAGCGTCGGTGAAAGCTGTTTATTAGCGTGCACGTAGCACGGATGAGCTGGAAGAGTTGCCGGGTGTTTCCGCACCTAGCCACTGATTCTATCTCCTTTACATGTAGCGTCCACCAGGCCTCTCTGTCGTCTCTCAAACTCTTTGTGAGTTCACGCTTCAGGGAGAGGCGCTGTTCGTTGTACTCGCGGTCTGCCGGGATTGCCAGACGCGCGTCGAGAAGTCTGAGAAAGTTGGAGAAAACCCAGTGATTTACAACTCGGCGGGTTAGGCCACAACTGTGTAAACCGGTTGAGTGCATTGCTTTTTGAATGGTTGTCTTGTGTTTATCTACGCTACTTGGTGGGGTAGTAGTTTTGGTAATCGGCTAGTACGGCCGGGTTAGAGAGCTTGACGACGTCGAGCTGCTTGTATCACATCTTTTTGCGGCCACCAAAACGCATAAACTTGGCACAAACCAGTGCGTGGTCGGAGTCCAAGCAGGTAGACCAATATGAACAGCAGTCTTCTCCACACATCTTCTCCATCTATAGCTAATAACTATATGGTCAATCTGACTCTACGTCTGTGTCGAAGAGGGGTTACGCTAAATGGCGAGGTGACGCTTAGAATGTCTGAAGTTCGTGCTAACGAGGAACAAACCGTGTTCTGAGCATATACTAAGAAGTCTATCCCCATTATCTGAACGACAGCTATCAAGGCCATGACGGCCACCAAGGTGAGTCCCATCGGGTGACAGACAGCCAACGCGTGCATTTAGGTCTCCGGCCAGGATCACGATATCCGTCTTAGTGCTTTGAGAAGAAGCTCATGTAGGTTGTGATAGGAGGCGTCCTTGACTGTATCCGGGCTGTAGTCTGTGGGAGCGTATGCAGAAACCACGAATAGGCATCGTTCATTTGGTTTCTGCTTTTTGACCTTACTTGAGCCTCTGAGTCTCACTGCGCATAGTTGGCTATCTATCAGGATCCAATCCAATAAACCAGCCTCGGCCCTGGCGCTTAAGGCAATGCCAATGCCTGCTTGATCAGGCGCTGAAGCGATAGGGACCCCGGAGACGCGCAGTTGAAACGCTTCTTTAGGATTGGAAGGAGACGTTAATCGGATCACTGAGCTCGGATCCTGGATTCGTGTTTCCGAGAGGCAGTACACATCAATCTCTAGACTTTCGAGCGTACGAACCAAACCTGCTTATTGTCCTATACGCATTAGAGTTTTGAGGTTGAATGAAACCAGTTTGAACGCAGTGTGAGATCGAAGGAATGGAACGGTCGGTTCCGAGACAGGTGTCAAGGAGGATAGCGGTGAGCTACAACATAAACCTACGCCGGTGGAACCGTTCGGGGTGGGACAAACAGTGGAAAAATGGGGTTATTTTGTGGGGGGCGGGTGTAAGTGTTGCGTGCAGATTTTAACAGAAAAGCTTTGCAGAAGTGTAGCATTCTGTAACATGCGTCTGTGTGTATGTCCATAAGTTTGTGGGCGTGGTGCCACCCGGTTGCCCATGCCGAGGTAGAGGGTTTTCTTGGAGGACCCTACCCGGAGCCTTTGGTTAAAGAACCTGACCCACAAGACAGCGGGGTGGAGTAGGGAGTCCACGATCCTTTGGGAGCCGGTGACTGGGGAGCCAGTTCATACGCCTTTCGGATGCGGTCAACTATCCAGGGTACCCAGATTGTCCTTGAGCGGTGCACTTGCCAGTGAGCATCACGGTGATCAACTCCAAAAATTAACTTTGGAGACCGGTTCGATTGCGCCGAAGATTGGTGACACTATGAGTTTGTTACGCCAGGTGTGGGTGGTTTTGAATCAGGGTCTAGCCAACTCTC